AGTATGCAACAGCTATGATTGCTAGGTTTGCCACAACTTTAATATGGTGCAAGAGTTAACGCAGCAGCCTATGTTGTTGTCATGAACTTCGAGCTAGAACAATTAACAAAGCTGATTTGGGTTTTTATTCTGTGTCACGTCTTAGTTTTATGCATAATAGCTTGTTTGTGCTTCACGCTCCTTTTCTATGTTGTCTGTCTGTACACCTATAGGTGTGTGGCTCTACCATGTATGTGTGCCACTGTGCCTTTTTGTGTATGGTGTATATATTTGGAAGATTATTATTTATATAGCTTCATGATAGAACAAACCCAGACAAACCAAAACTGATAAATAAAACTCTTGTTCACCTGTTGATCACTATAACTGTATATTTTGGCAAATCCCCACAGAGTAACCCCAGTGAGACAGACAAAATTAGCCTGTAAAACATAGAAAATAGAAAACAATAAAAGAGCATTTTTATACAGCCCTTTTAGCATTTTACTGTATCTCAAAGTATTTGGAACTGGAAAGCTGGAAAACTATGAAAATGGAAATAAAAAAACTTGGCTGACAATTTTCTAGCAGTGGGTGACATGGTGGCTGTTATCCAAAAGGTGGGCCTTTGAGACATTTGTTCCCAGTGGCATATGCCAGGATTACTGCTCCCAGTGTCACCAAATGCTTTTCCTGCCTTCCTGCCTGGTGAGGTGGAGAAGACAAAATCTTCAAATGGCCTTCAAATGATGTCAGAGACTGGCTGACATCGGACTGATTTCTGACCATCATTGTGATCACTGTGATGTTGACTGCCAACGCAAGATTAACAATATTCTTACCATTAATTAAAATCACCTCAGTGTGAGAACAGATGGGCAAAGCCATTAATCTGCAGTAATGCTCTTACTGTCACCACACACATCTTAATCAAGCCGTGATCTGCATTAATCACCTGACTTAAGTGACAAACAAGTATCACTCCTGTGTTAGCCAGGCTTTGTTTGTGGTCAGGCCTCTGGTGACCTTGTAGTGATGTATTGATCAGAGAAATACTTAAGACATGAGTGGGCAATGTTTTATATGGAAGCAGTTAGCTCTAACACAACGGGACACATAGAGAAAGTCCTCACTACCTCTGCAGCTACTGTTTTAATCATCATGTTTGAGCTTTCATTTTTGACTAAAATATTATCATCTACAGCTGCTCACTTATTACCTTAAAACCGCTGCAACACAAAGTGGTAAGTGCGTGAGACATTTGATAAGATTAAAGTGTAATCCTCTTAGTGGCAAACAACTAATTTGGCTAATAATTCTGCCTTACCTTCTGACTCCTCATAGCCATAAAATCCTGGATTTCAACACCCAGCCAGCATGGGACTATTGTGCTAAAGGCTTTGTGTGTCTGGTAATGGCAGAAAAGTATCTTACGTTTGATCCCCCTCTGGCTCAGTGTTCATATGTTCAGCATGATGTTGTTTTTAATAAAGGATGAAAATGGAGATATAGCGTGAACAAAAATAACCAAGAAAGTAGATTATGAGATAGGGGAAACATTTCGTGTTTACACTCAACTCAACATTGTAATATTACTCATTCAACAGTGAGTACCTCAAGTGATGATGCAATACCAATACCATTAATGAATTATGTTGTACACTGGCCTGCCTAAGCATGTGTAGTAACATTCAGTTCAATGATTTGTGGCATAACACAAGCTTCAGCATCTTGGAAAACCACTTGTTGGTTTGGTACCTTGTCGATTTGAGAACAAACTCTAAACATACGTTTCTGTTGGAATGCGATCCGGCTGAAGCACATTCCAAGTTTAATATGTAATTATCTCAGCTTTCAATAGCATACATTATGAATTGGCCTTCTCTGCTGGAAAGTGTTTTAACAGTTTGTTTTTTGTTCAAGATGCTTTGTGTTCTTGCCAAGATTTGTAGGCAACATCATCAGAAAAAGAAAATCAATTTTCACATTTATCACATATACTAAATATGGCCTGTGTGATCCAAACCTCACTGGTGCTTTGTTATTGGACTTCTGTGCTTGGGGATGTGCAGAAGGAGTTAGAGGGACCCAAAATCCAAAAAGATTTTTTTTTGTCAAATAATTGAAATGCCTGGAATTACTCCTTTTGTGACACAGGGATATTAAAATGTATGAATTAAAAACAAACCCATGACTGAGGTTGGTTCCAATACTGCTGACAGTTAAGTGACAGTTAATTAATGATACATGCATAGAAATAAGGCACGTTTCAGTAAATTCTCCTCACATGTTTACCAGCCCACCTTACCTGCACGTCCTCTGGCTGCAAGGCTTTCTGTCTCGCCTCCATATTCACCTCTCCATATAAGGCATAATTGCTTTAGTAATAATGGGCAATAAGAAAATTCTGTTTTTTTATTACTAAGATACTGTGTGCCATCAAATTAGTTTAATATAATTCACATATCATATCACAATACTGAAGCTTGGGATACATCATGCATTTTAGCCACAATTCCAAAAAGCAATTTAGCTTATAATAGGGTGTATTATACCCTAGTTTATGTTTCTTTATTTATTTATGATGAAGAACAGATAACAGCTTGAACTTTAATACCTAATCAACATAAAATTAGAAATATCTATATTTTGTAGGCCACATACCTGATGTCTGCTTCTAAGATAACCAGTCTAAGCCAGACTGACTGACTCATGCTGCCTGTCAAGTACCTATTAGATGTATGCGTGCGTTCTTTCAACACAGAAGGGCTCGGTGCCCACACAGTGCAAGCAGGGACCTACTAAGGAGGGAGGTTAGAGTGCATTGCTGGGAGCACCAATCTCCCTACCTGATATTTTGATTATATCTAATCAGCATGACAGGCTGCGCACAAACAGGAATTTATTGATTTACCCCAGAAAAAGGGGCAAACGGTAGGTGCTCAAGCCTCCTTTTGAGGTCTATCTAAACTATGTCTGTGCTAGTTATGGATTGGCCATATAAAACACCATGTTAGACCACAGGGTGATTCATAACTGTACTTGATATCAGAACACCTTACAAGTCAGAGATTGATGACTGACTTTGAGATCGATCATCAGATCTGTAGCTGGATGTCTTGGACACTGTGGGGAAGAGAAGAGAACCTGTAGTGAGGGGGAACTTGGAACGTCTGGCTAAGGCCCCTGTCTATAAACTCTCATTTTTCATCAGAGTGGGCTATATTCAAAACCACCGTCTGAGGCGGCTGCTAGGAGTTCTGATCAAATGGTCATGGGTGCCTGTACCTGAAAACCCATTGTTGGACTCCAGGATGACACCTAGGCGCCTTCCTTTGTACACTCACACTGGAGAGATCTGGCTTGAGAATACAGTATCAGAGTCAGAATCAGAATCAGGGGGAAATTACTTTTGTTACAAACTCCAGATATACATACCACATATAATATATTAAGAATATATATATAAATATTAAATTAATTAATACCTCAGGGATACCTATAGCCTGCTGTGGCAGTGACCCAGCCCTGGATGGGTAGCAGGAAATGTATGGATCGATGGAAATTTAGTATATACGTAAGCAAAACTAGGCATATATAACACTTTATACATGGCAGCACAGAGCACCTTATCACCTCTCACTGACACAATATCACAAGCATCTCTGGTCTCTGTGGCTGATTGTGTGATTTTTAACACCTTCCTGTATGGGCGCTCTTGGGGGCTCAGACAGATCTTACCCAAATTTTTATGAGGTGTCAAGAGCCCTTTGAAGGGCCATAGACGCCTTTTAATCAAATGATTGACGAAGGTCTGGTTGACTCATGCGCTTTTGTTGTCACTATGGGAGCTGTTTCTGGGGTGTGACTGTACGTGCGTGTGTGTGTGTTTGAGGTGGGAGGGGGTAATCATTCAGTGTTGTTTATTTGCCTGACTTCCTTTGTCTCCTGACTTCTGAGGTTCTTGTTTTAGAACAACTGCTGAAAAGGTTAAATTAAGTGCATTTAAGTGTTTATTACAATACAGATGGCCTCGATTTTGCAGCCAATTTTTCCCTCTAACACAGAACTACAGCAATCTTCAATGTGTAATTAACATTGTGGGTGTCCAAAACACAACACTAATCAAATGACATTTGTCTGGCTTTGTGGGTTTTCTTTACCACATTACATTGAAATTCCTCCTCTGCTATTTGAACAGATGAGACATCGCCTACAACTGTAATAAACAGAGAAAAATCTGCTTCTCCTTTGTTATGCATGATATTTATGGACTACGTTTACATAAACAGGTATGATTAAGAGAAAAATAATAAATATTTATGACTTCATAGTTTTATTAAGCATAAATGTCAGGATAAAGGTTTTGATGAGGGTGTGTGATTATAATACATAGGTGTATATGAATAACAATGAAATCATCTGGCTCTGCAATCCTCAGTTATTAGATACTTTCTTGCTCCTTGGCATTTGCTATTGTTTTTACCTCATAGTGGAAAGTAACTAAGTGCATAAATTAAGGATTGCACTCAAGCATAGTTTTAGTTTTTTTAGTTTTGTTTAGTTTTTATTTGTATTCATTATTTGCTTGAGTGTTTTCATTTTTATACCATATTATACTTCTACTCCAGGCTTCAACTTCTTTTGATGGCGCCTATTAGCTCTATCAAATGCAGTCGTCTAAGTGATTTAGTTAGATAATTAATTGCCATGTGCAGATTTGTTTAAGTCATTTAAGTAACACTATTATCAGCCTGATTAAAGCTCCACAATCAGTTTATCTAATAAACCATTTGCACTCACAAAAGTGAACAGCAGTTTGCTGCAGAGCCAAACGTTTCCCTGTTGGTGGTCCACTGGAAGGCCATTGGTCGGCGGTGCAGGCTATTTGCATAGAACGGGGTTTATAGTCCCACAGCAAAGTCAGAGTTCAGTGCAGTTGAGATTCGTGACACAGCACAAGTGGAGGATTGTTTGCATCATTTATGAGTTTTTGGAGCTGCATTTTGTAACCCCTCAACATGGGATTTTGCAAGATTGCAGGAGTTGGACTGTGCATGGCGCTTGCTTTGCTTTACACCGTTGAGTGTACAACTACAAGGTATTTCACCTATGAAGAAGATGCGCCCGGGACGGAGATAGGGAATTTGTCCCAAGATTTAAAGATTGATCCAGCTGATGACCCTGACACGTCGTTCCGCTTCATGCAAGAAAACAACTCTTCCCTGATTGAAATGAGGGAGATTGACGGACTTCTGAGTGTTGCAGAGGTAATCGACCGAGAGGAGCTCTGCCCCAGGTCTCCTCGTTGCTTCATCACCTTCGACATTGTGGCCCTCTCTAACGAAAAGTTTCAACTCATCCACGTGGAGATCGAAGTGAAAGACATCAACGACCACTCTCCTCGTTTTCCGCGCAACGAGACCAACCTGGAGATCGTGGAGAATGTCCCGCTGGACTCAAGATTCCCCCTGCAGATTGCGGTCGACCAGGACGTGGGTGAAAACTACATCCAGAGCTACAACATCTCCCCATCTAGTCACTTTGCCATTGAGGTGCGCGATCGGGAGGATGGAGTGAAGTTTGCTGAACTGGTGCTGGTGAGGAAGCTCGACAGGGAGACGGAGGACTCCTACGTGATCGAAGTCACTGCAACTGACGGAGGAGTGCACGCAAAGTCCGGATCGATGGTTGTAAATATCAAAGTGCTGGACTTTAATGACAACAGCCCGACGTTTGAACACAGCTCCCTGAAAGTGGAGCTTAATGAGGACTCTCCGGTAGGTCACCGAGTTCTCAAAGTGCACGCTTTTGACCCGGACGACGGCGTTAACGGAGAGGTGACGTACGCGTTCGCTGACGGGTCATCCCCAGACTTTGCACGTTTTTTCCACATTGACCCTTACTCTGGGGACGTGACCCTGAAGGCGGTGGTTGATTTTGAGAAAAAGAGGTCGTACGAGCTTAACATCAGAGCCTCGGATTTGGGTGAGAACTCTGTTTCGTCCAGCTGCAAAGTTGTGATAGATGTCGTGGACGTGAACGACAATGCACCTGAAATCAGCATCAAACCGATGACTTCTAGCAGTGATGGAGTTGCATACATTACAGAAGCTGCAGCTGCGGAGAGTTTCGTGGCTCTCATCAGCACCTCGGACAGAGACTCTGGCTCCAACGGGTACGTGCGCATCAGCCTGCTCGGGCACGAGCATTTCACCCTCCAGCAGGCGTATGGGGACTCTTTCATGATCACAACCAGCACTACTTTAGACAGAGAGAAGATCCCAGAGTATAACTTGACTGTGGTTGCAGAAGACCTGGGAAGCCCACCCTTTAAAACTGTCAGACAATATACCATCCGTGTTACAGATGAGAATGACAACCCCCCTCTCTTCAGTAAGTCACTTTATGAAGTTTCAGTCCTGGAAAACAATATTCCAGGTTCGTATGTAACCACTGTCGTCGCCCGAGATCTTGATGTGGGAAAAAACGCCAAAGTCTCTTACAAAGTCATAGATACAGAGGTGCCAGGAGGATCTCTGGTGTCCACTTATGTTTCTGTAGATTCACTTTCAGGGTCTTTGTATACTTTGAGGTCTTTTGATTATGAGACTCTTAAGCAGATTGAGTTGGTCATTCAAGCTGAAGACCGAGGCTCCCCCTCTCTTACAAGCACATCAACTATCAGAATTAAAGTTGTGGATCAGAATGACAATTATCCATACTTCACCTTCCCTGTCCTTCTGAACGACTCTGCTGATATTCCCCTGCCTTTTAATGCACCAGCCGGCTACCTCGCCCTGCGCGTCTCAGCTGAAGACGAGGATGAGGGAGTGAATGGCCAGCTCTCTTACCAAATTGTGCAAGGTGACCCACAGCTTCTTACAATGAACAAAGACACAGGAGAGATTGCTTTAAAACAATGGCTGACAGCTGAAATTGGAGACGTGCTGGAAATGAAAATTGCTGTGAGTGACAATGGCAGGTCCCCACTCTCCAGCAGTGCCACTATTAGGTTTGTCATCTCAGACACAGAGCCCTCTGAAGACCAAGTGGTCATTGTGTTGCGGTCAAGTGATGGAGAAGGCTCCATCTTGGATGGCTCCCTAATTGTCATTATTATGCTCAGTGGGGGTTGTGCGTTGTTGCTGATTGCGATAGTAGTTGTTGTTGTCACATGCAAACTCAGCCGTGGGGGGAGAAACCGTGGCTCCAAGAGGGACGTGTGTCACAGCCTGTTTGACAGCGGGCCCCTGCCCATGCTCGGCTCAGCAGAACCAAACATATACACCGGCCAGCGAGGCTTCTTCCACGAGAGAACCTCTTCATCTCTGGATGATCCCTGCCTGTATGAGGAGAGGAGTGGGGACTCAGAGACAAAGGTGAGTCAAGTATTTTTTCATCTTTTATTTTCATATGTATATGATGATCCCGGGTGCTGCCTTGATGTTTGTGCCAGAAATGGAAACTAAGCTCTCTTCTGTCATTTTGTTTGTTCTCTTAGATGTTCCTGCCCTCCAAGCATTTTCCAGCAACATCTGTGTGGCAAGGTGACAAATACTGCTTGCAAGTGAGGTAAGACAAGTAAATGTAATTTCTTTTCTCAGATAGGACATGCTTTATTCACAGTCAAATCTCACTGAACACAGTGGGTAATTAAAATGCACTGTGCATATATTTTGTTGCTTGTGGCATTGCTGTGGAATGAGGTTAGATGGCTAGGATAGAGACGGGTCTTGTGTGTGAAAAAAGGACATCAATAATCAAGCTAATGTGGTGCAGCGGTGGCTCATACTGTATCTGTTGATTGTATTTGCAGTGGCATTGGCAACACCGACCAGCTGAGCGTGAAGGACAGTGGCAAAGGGGACAGTGACTTTAACGACAGTGACTCTGATATCAGTGGTGACGGAGGCAAAAAGAACTTCATTACCTTCCAGCCAAGGCTAAAAAGTAAGTTTTCCACTCTGAGTTTTGACATCACTTTCTACTGAATTAAACATGAATATTAACCAGGATGACATAAATGATAAATGGTGGTAATGTAGCATCCCCATCAACAATTTCTCATTCTTATTTTTATCTGTTCCACTTGTATTTCAGGTTCATCCAGCACTGCTAACAGCTTGTCTGGGGATTGCCAAGGCACGTACTGTGCAGTACCACCACAGAGCTTCAGAGCCCCCAGAGACAGTGCGTACACAATAGGCTTCTCCCCAGCACCAGTCTTCAACAATCCGCACAGTTATCCCTACTTGTGGAAGGACTCTGGTTATGGCACAAATCGACCAAAATCAAGGAGCAGTATGCAGACCTTCTCCAGGACCGGGACTCTCCCTTCTTACTTCCCTCAGCAACAGCGCGAGGCGGGTGCTGGAGGGGCTGAAATCCACAAGCAGAGTCCAAATATTGTAACTGTGGCTACTGCATTAGAGGTTGCAACAATTTTTTAAAGACTGCGTTGATAAGCTGATTGAGATGTACCTGGAAGATGTAAACATTTGTAAAATAGGTCATTGCTAGACGGTTAACAGGTGTACATATGTTTTTTAGTTGAAAGAAATTATTATAAAATATATTGTGTTTATTCATGTGACGTTATTTGAATTCCAGTATACTGTATTTTATAATGCACCCTTATGATGCAGTTTCTTTTTCCAGTAAAAGTGTGATTAAAATTATTGTAAAATTATGTATTTTATTCAACATATTACTCAAATGTGATGATATGCGTAATATAATGGGATCAGACAATAAATCAATTTAATTGAGAAATATTGTGTTTTGAAGATTAAATATTATTCCCCTGCTAGGTGAAACACCAGTCTGAATTTGTGAACATGTAGAACTCTTCCCCCAGTTTGAATCTACATGATCAAGACTCCAGTCAGTGATGATCAGATGTAAAATCTCAAGCTGCTCCATTACCTGGGAGACTGGCTTTGAAGACTCCTGGTTGCTCGGTTGAGTTTCTTGCATGCAAATGAGTGAGTAGAGCAGTACTGAAGTGGAAAATAAAGTATAAATCATTATTCGTACAAAATCATGCTGGGTGCTGTCACACCTGCTTCAACTCTTCTAAATAATTTACATCACTGTAAACAACACAGTACAACCAAAACGTATTAAGTAGCTTGACAAATTCCTGACGGTCATATGTTGCTATTAGGGGCAAAGGTTTAGCTCTTGTATATAACTGTTCTTGCCAAGAAAAAATGGGACAAAATATTAAAATAACTCTTCCTCTGACATTCATAACGCTTTTGCTCGCCTAGCTTTACAGTCATATTTTCAGGACTGGTCACTATTATTCAACCATGAATATGTAGGGCAAGTGCAAACTGTCTGTAGTCCGAAACGATTTATTGATGAGAACCAATTTAAAAACCAGAGCGAACACTGACAAACATCCTTTCCAGTGAATACTGGTTGTTTGTTATTGAGCTTTTATATGTAGCTGCAGCATAAACAATATACAACATTTACATTATTTTCTTACTTACATCTCCCAAAATAGAGCAGTAGAATTTTATGAAACTAAATCCAGGACACAGAAAACAAAATAACCCCCCCCAAAAGCAGAAAGTCTGTAGCTGAATTATGCAAGATAAAATCAATTAAATACATCTCTCAATCAAGAGACTATGTCTATGGGGAAGTGCTTGTGTTTTCATCAACAACTTAAAATGTACAGGCCTGCTTTAATATTTCCTTTCATCAACATTTTAGAATCTGCTCTCAAGCTGAGTAACTGAAAGGCAAACTGAAAGTATATACTCTAAACAATGAATACCTGCAGATTTTCATCTGCTCATGCACAAGTTTGTCACGCTATTCTGTCCTCATTATTTTTAAGGTCACTTTAAATGAGCCTGTGATGTATGAAAGCAAATGAGACAAGAGTAAAGGGTTGTTACAAACTACATAATAGCCATCTAAGGGCCCGTCCTAAAGAGAAAATAAATAGTTTCCAAAACTGCTGCCAAGGAAGAGCTATCAGTGGAAGCTGATGGCAGACTGAGCCATTTCTTTTTTCTTTTTTCTGTTCATCTGCTGGAAAAGGGGTCTAAGAGCAGTGCTCATTTGCATAAGCATAAATACCTGGTTGTTTGATAGCTGTGATAAAAGCTTGGATAGAGTGGATTGGATGCTTTTTTACATAACTGTGAAGCACTAAAAAGAGTTCTCACACATTACCACAATATGCCTCATTAATAGAGGACAATGATCAAAAACTATATTCCCTATTTAAGTCGTCCTGATCACTTTGTATTTAATACTCCTGGTCTGCACGCAAGTCACCACAGTTAGGAAATTGCAAAGTTAATAACTTTATTTTAGGCATGGATTCAAGGCCATGCGGGACAAAAGGCAAGCAATAAGAAAGAAGGTCATATTTGTGCCCCCAGTGATGTGCACTAGTCTGACAGATAGCCAATTGTACAGAGAGGGAAAATGCATTTATCAATCAATACAATATGATTCCCTTCACCATTGCTTTATATGCTCCTTGTAGGTCAAACAGTTGTGCATTGACCTGACAATTTGTGCCACAAGGTATATTCATTTGCACAGTTTGGTATAAAATGTGTGTCTATTGGAAAAGCCATCGCTGGCAGACACTGTGTTCATTCACATCCAAATGGACTTCACATTAATGTCCTGCAGCAGCTCTCACAGCACATTTGAAATCTCCCCAGGTAATAGAAAATGAGTGTTTTAGGAGCTGGTTTTCAGCTCATCAGTAGTCCACTGACAAATGTGTCAGATCTGCACATGTCATTTCTAGCCTCTGCACCTGTTGGTGGTAGGTTTATATTTGACAAATGGCTAGCTGTATGTCTGTGATTATGCTGTTATGGCCTCTTAGCATCTCATCTTAAGAAACAAGTCCCCAGTGTATCCAGTGTGTGAAGATGGAGACTTTCTGAATCGATGTCATTTGGCGCTTCAGGCCCGTCCCACAATGCAATGTTTTGTACTACTCGCACCTCTTCTTCATCTTTGTCTCAACTGCCAAGTGTGGATATTGACTTTTGGATGCTTTAAATTGTGGGGCTGGTGTGTGAAAAGATAAAACCATTTGTATTCCACTTGACAGTTTGTCTGGAAGGAGCAAGTTTGTTCTGTGTTCATTTACTATTAAGATGTTGTTTGCTTCATTTACAATAAGTTATATCCAACCAAGTTCACTCCCACATCAATGTTTGTTAATTAAAACACTAGACATGTGGAAAGCAAAAGCAACAGCTGATACGAAATTATCTCTGTGGCTTTGTCATCTCTTCGTAATTACTGTCTAAACAATATGTCATAGAAAGAACCACTGCGAGGGCCTGGACAAACCTGTACTTTTTAATTTTGTCCCCTTCCAGGCCAAGTAATTTAAAAGAAAAGTTTGATATTTTGGAAAATATGTTCACTTTCTTTCTTGCTGAGAGTTAGATTGGAAAATTGATTCCCCTGTCATATCTGTCCATTAAATATTAAGCTGGAGCCAGCAGCTGGATAGCTTAGCTTAGCTTAGCATTAAGACTGTAAGGAGGGGGGAAACAGCTAGCCTGGCTCTGGATGTCTCCCAGATTCAATTCAGTTCGATTCAACTTTCTTGATACTATAGTGTACAGCATAACAATATGACAATAGATAATTGCTTGCATTGTGGTGAGTTAGTATGATGTACAAGATAGCTTTAAGTATTAGTAGGAGCCAGTCATGTGCAGTAAACCAGAGCAGTAGTAGTCAACGTACCAATTAGTGAAGTATCAGTGGAGTTGCAATGGATAAGTAGGTAATGTAATTGAATGAAAAAAACAGGACATAATGTGTAATTAGTACTATGCCAGGCTAGCTATTTCCCACTGTTTCCAATATCTGTGCTAAATTTAGCCAACTGCTGGCTCCAACTTCTGTGAAGGACAGACACGAGAGTGGCTTTGATCTTATCATCCCACAGCAAGAAAGCAAATGTTGAATTATTCCTTAAACCTAAAATTCACCTATCAAGGACATACCTTTATCTGTTTTCTTGCTCACTCAAATCATTTGATAAATATTTAAGTCTTTATGTTTTTATCTGACAGAGAATCTTTTTCTCTCAATGCTAAATTATGTCATTCACTTGCACCTATGATAATACAAAGCAGTTCAAGAGGGAGTCTGGGTCCATGGTTTTGGATCACAACCACCAATATGCTCACTATATTAGACATGCCAGAGCATCAGGGGTGCTGCTGCAGCTGTTGCATTCTTAATTCAAGGTATTGTTTTGATTCTAAATTGTGTTGTATTATATAGTAGCTCCCTTGTCACAGATGAAGTTATATATTATTTTGTAGACTTAAAGTCTCTACTTTTGTAATATTTGCAAAAACTAGATTATAGTTGTACCTAAAGCAGCAACAAAGAGTTTTCAATTTTTAAGTCTGGCAGCCGTTGTGGACCAAAGTGGTTGTGGTTCCAGCACCTTGTTTCATGGATTTCAGGGGAATGTGACCAAATCTGACCCACTGGCAGGCATTAACAGTAACTGTATAGAAATAGCCAATGTTCTCGCTGATAGTGTGGTGTGCTTTGGCCATATAGAGGCATCAGTATCAAATTGAGACAGTTTCATAAAAACTCCTTTAATAGGTTTAAAGTAAGAAAGGGTTTGGTGAACTGCAACAACTTTTCTAAATTCACTTCAAGACATTAAGAAATATGGGCTACTCGGAATATGGCCAAATGAATTTCACTTTTTATCTGTACATAAAAGATTTTCTTACAGCTGTAATGTTTCTATGAAAATCTGGGGACGGGTGCTGTTTATAACTAGGACTCATACTATGACTAGTACTATTATTAAACAGTGTTTTCAATGTGTTATTATTACATTATAGTGTGACTGTTCTTAAATTGAGCGATGAGTGCAAGATTGAACACGTATTATTGTTGTCTGTCCACTATATTCTAAATCTGGTAGCAATTTCAGCAATGAATAGATATTTTAAATAAATTTAAGACACATAAAATGAAATTATGTTTCTCTATCTTCTTCTTGGTATCCACTAAGAGATGTCTTCTGAGCATACAAGAATATGAACATGATTCAGATTTTTTTTTAAAGAACAACATGGTGATGAACGTGGTGACATTCTCTGTAGAATTTGGTCATTGGATTTAATAATATATATATATATAATATAATAATATAATGACAAAGAGAACGAGAAAAAGACACTAACATCAGTTCATCACCGGAAAAAGAACCCATTTCAAATGAATTGTTCTCAGATGTAATGCAGAAGTCTGCTAGCCATGTCAGCTGTCCCATCAATCATTACTGTTTTTACTTTATTATTGTATGTATATTCCTACATTTATGAATGTTCAAAACAGTCAAGTAAAAATGGCAAACATACATGAATTATTTAATACTTCATTCTTCATGGGGTTTTGTTGGAACTAACAG